TGCGGACCAAAATTTCGAAGATCTTCGGCCATTAGCCAATCAAAATCGAGGATCTGCCGCGCATTTTTTGTGCGGCAGCTAGGTTCAATGTATTAATAAACAAATGACGTCATTGAATGATTTCAATGTGATGTGATTATTACTGGGTCCGTGTTCTTGAAGAGTCCCGTGGATGTTTAAATTTACGAACGCACGTACATATTGAAATTAAAAAGATCATTGTGCCTGATTAATGTGCCATCAGCATTCAAGAATTGCATTTTTTTTTCTCATTGAATGCGAAGAATATTGTAAGAAGGTGATCCGATTTTTGAAGGTAACAAAAATCCAGTGAACATAAGTATTATAATAAGTATTATAACTTAATGAGTAAGAATGATCAATGTTAACAATAATATAAAACGAGGATAAAATAATTATTTGTATAATGGATTATGAAAAAAGAAAATTTTATGTTGAAATTTTCCTTTATTTAATTTCTGTTATTTCATTTTTTGCATGCGTATATATAATACTGAATTATATTGTACTATTATTAAAATTTATTTATTTTTTTATTTATTATTTTCAATATCATGGATATATATGCATATTTTTATTTTTATTAAAATGGTTGAATTTAATAATAAAAATGATAAAGGATAGGATGAGATTGATAGGATGAGATTGATAGTATTGAAGAACGTTAATATTCTTTGTAATATATTCTTTAATGATTCAGTGGATTTAAATTTTCGTTTCAACTTATTGCGATTTGCAAAAAGGTGTAACCTCATAATTTTTGTGATGATCGAGGAAAATTTCTGAGATTTCAGATAATCTAGTGTCATATATCCAATCAGTTATATTTTATAACGTATCCGAAATCTGTAAGATTCTATTAGAATCGGAAAATCGCTTGATTTCCCATGACATAATGATCCGTAGAGGTCACACCTTTTGCAAACCGCATTAAGCGCATTAGAATCAACTTATATGATTCTCTAGCAAGATTTCATTCGACGTATTCTTAAATGACATCATTTGGAATGAAATTTACGCATGATCAACCTAATTGGAACCGCTAAGATTTTTTAGTCACATAAAAATTGCTCTTTAGTTCTGGTAAATTGACCAAAATTATATTGATATCTGTTGTGACCTAAACACTTAGTGCAATCAACGAACATAAATTACAAGAAATACAAACATTACAATAGTAACACCTCAGAGTGATGGCATTCATTACTCGATTCTCACAAATATCAATACATAACATTTTTTGATCCAAATAAGTGATACATTACTATCATTAGGTTTGATTTTTCAATCTATTTATAATGTTTATTAAAATATTACAGTATTTAAAAATATAAAAAATTTTAGACTTTAGAAATGCGATAACTTGGCACCAATGTAACATATCCATTTAATGCTTTTTTAGTCTTATCATCCTCATTATAAGGATAATCGAGTAAACCCACGTAATTCAAAGATTTTTTCGTATGCTGAATTCAATTAACGCTTTAAGTGTTTTCTCATTATCAAGGGAACTAATTAAGAGATTTTTTAAAGGTGCATTGCAATTATCGAGCAAAATATAAAAATATAAATGTAAACCAGAATTAGTTAAGTCGAGATATTCCAATGCTGACGGTAATATTTCTGCAAATTGCTTAACACGTATTTTTAGATCATCCATTTCGTGAAATATTCTTTCATTAATGTACCATAACGTAAGAATTTGAAGTTTTTGCAAATTACCAATAAGATCTAGGAGTTGTGTGGAAAACTCAATATTCGAAATGGAGAGACATGTAATATTTGGACAAAAGGATTTAAGTGTTCTTAGTAATAATGATTCATTAAGTATTTTATAATCTTCTGATATAAGTGTTAATCGTTGTAATAATGAACCAGAATTTTATAAAAAATGTACTATTCTCGGCGCAAAAATCGGGGAATTAATCACATCTAAAGTGTTAAGGCTTGTCTCTAATATTTCTTCTACATTACCGCAATATTTAATACGAAGAATTTTTAAATTTTTACAATTCATTAGCACCTTAAATTCTTCGTCCAAAATACAAAGTTCTATTACAACTTCTTGTAACGATTCTTTTTGACTCTCTAAAGCTGAAATTATGCCATGGAAATCCGAAGGCCATCCTTCTTCACCTTCCCAACCGCTTAAGACAAATACCTTAAGTTGCTCTTGTGACTTAATAATGCTTATAATTGCATGAAATAATTGTGAATCATAATCAGAACAATATTCTTCAAATTTCAAAGTATTAATTTTTGTAGCATATTTTGCCAAGATTTCTAAAAATTCAATAGCACTTTCGATGTTTAAATCAGATATTCCGCTCAAATATAAAAATTGGAGTTGTGAAAAAAATTGATTATTCTGTTCTAATGAATCGAAAAACTCAAACTTATAATATTCATTATCAGAAAAACCTAAAAATAAATCATGTAAAATAACCCCATTTTCAATAAATAATTTAAATAATAAATCAACTAAGCGATATTTCAATTCTTCGTAAGATTGATTTGAACTACTAATATGCTGAAATTTGATCCAATCTTTAACATTACTTTCGAGACTAAGTAAATAAAGAGAATTTAAATATCTTGCATAATTAAATATTGTATTATATCTATCCCATATTCTTTCAAACCGATTTTTTCTTTCTCGCCAAGTAATGAAAAGTATTGAGAAATGAATGATGGATTTGTAGTAAATGAAAACGGATCATGCCAAAGAATAGGGATTGATATTTCGCACCAATGTCGGCTTACAAGTGCGCAAGAGTGTAAAGAATAAATTTCTTCATCTAAATTATTAAGAATATTTTCCATTAATTCGGTCATCCCACCCGTAAATATTTTTGATGCCATGAGTTTTATTTTAATGAAAAAGGCGGTTTGGAATTTTAATATGCAGTTTTATTACTGTATAGCAAGCTTTATTTTGGTTAGCTTTTTGTAGATCATTTAGCAATTTACAAAAGGGGTTGTTTTAAAACTTTAAAACCTGATTTCACAATTGATACGTACGTACGTACGTTACAAAAATGTAATACGTGGCATATGATTATTGCACCAACATTATGAATGTTTGGCCAGTATTATTAGGGATCTATTATCGTTACTATAATCTTATTTAAAAGTGCGACATAAAAAATGCTGTGACTTGGGGTTAGGGATATGAAAGGTTCAGTCCGGTCCCAACTCGACTCCAGAAGTCTCAATTTTGTACTCGTTCCCAAGCAGATCGATTCCAGAAGTCTCAATTTTGTACTCGTTCCCAAGCAGATTTGGGACAAAAACTCATTCTACCATGTGAAATCTGTGACAACACATTTATTTAAATAATCCTGTAATACAAAAATTTAAAGTTTGAACCTTGTATTACTTAAATAATGTGGTGTCATGTATTTCACATGACAGAATGACAAAGTATGCTTAGCCGAGTACAGGAGCCAAGAAATTTTATTATTTAAAAGCAATGTCTCCCTAAACTTAATTCTCTTGTAATTGAAATGTAATTTTAAGCTAGTTATTTCGTTATGAAAAAAAAGAGCAAGTAAAAAATGCTAAGAGCCGTGGTATTCGCTTTATGAATATCACCCCTAACGTCACTAGGGCTGACTCTTCCTCTTGTGTAAATGGCCGCTAATTGCAAAATGAGTATGTCATCAATGATGAACAGCCGCACACTGTTCAAGTTCCATATGAATTAACATTAAATATCGAAGGCTTAATTTATCCTTCAAAAAATTTACGTCATTCAAGAAAAACCGACGACCCACCGAGACCACAGATTAGTTTTCTCTCCTTCGTAAGGATTTTGAAGCAAAGTCCCTACTAGAGGTAACATAACATACATTGTTCTACATCATTAAGTTACAAATATATAATAACTAGATAGCTGCGTGCGAAACCAGGAACGGAAGACCGGATTGTGGTTAAATTTGAATGAATAATAAAATTATAAAGAAACAGATAGTTTATTATCAATTCAATTAGCCGTATGAAAAAAAGACAATTCACCTAATCTTTGTAGTGGTTATTTATTATAAAGTGTTATCGATTTAATAATGTAGGGTATGTATTGATGTGCGAGATAACAACAGTATATATATATAAACGATAATTATATTAAAAAAGGTCAAAAATGTAATTCTGAGGGAGGTTGTTATATAATTGTATGGATTAGTCGGTTAATAGTATGTTTATCTGAATTAAAGTGTTTAAGTATAAAATTATAGAAATTATGCTTATATTTATGCATTTGTTTTAATAAGATTATGTAGACGTTTTAAATTGTACTATTGTAATCTTGATCGTGTTATTGTGAACTATTGCTTTCATAATATATGCATTATGGTAGATTTGTAATATTCCAATATTTGTAAAATTTGACCGTAGATTTTAAGTTATTTAATTGACTTCATATAATGTAATGTTATTATTATGATCTATCGATAATATTTTTAAATTTGTGTTATATATAAAATACTGTCAATGTTGACTGACAGTCATTGTAAATTATTAAATTGTACATTGGTAAAATGGTTTATTTGAGTTATGTAGAAATTTAAAATAGGTTGTGCTAATGGAAAAATGTGTTAGATGCATTGTACAAAGGAAAACATGTTATTTAATACACACTGATCGAACAAAATGACAAAGAACCTTATTAAATAATCACAGCAGATAAAATTATAGGATTTACATTAGAAAAGGATATCAATTTTAAATTGGTAACAATTGCATATTGTACAAAGTAGAGATGCGATCCGTTATCCGTTTTCCTATTTAAAATTTAACGGATATCAGGATATCCGGATTCTTTATAATAATTTTGTTATAAATTTAAATTAGCGGATATCCGGATCGCATCTCTAGTACAAAGAAACACATGTCATTTAATACACAATAATTGAACAAATGAAATTATTATTCAAATTATATAATTGTAAATTGTACAATTTAATTTATAATTTATTCACAGTACAGCATTTAGATTAGAATTTTAAAATTTTAACAATAGAATATTGTACAATGAAACACGCGGCATCTGATCGAAGAAAAAAAATTATATTTCAAATTAAACGATAACGAAATTATACAATTTGGGTATAACAAAGGTATTATTCTTATTTACAAACCAATACAAATTTGTAAATTTGAAATTTTTTTATTTAAAAATATTACTCGATAAACTTAATCACATTGCATTTAATTTACTAAAAGAAGTATAGGTTATTTTCTAGAACTTAGAATATTAATATGTTATATACCAGACATTTAGGGAAATAATTTAGAATTGTTCTAAAAACCAGTTCAGATAATGAAGTTTAAAATAATATTCTCACTCTAAAATACACCAATAACAGGTTTAGAAGATTTTTATACATAATAAAAGTTCTGAAACTACCAGAGATAATCTGGTTTTTAATAGAGCAATGAATAGGTCTTTTTAACCAGGTTAAGGTTAATAGTAGGATAATCTAACATCTCTAGCACTAATCTATTTAGAGAATAACTATGGCATATTATATATGAATTAGAAATTTTAAAACAAACTAATACTATATTCAAATACATCATTGTATACAGACAATGATAAGTATTTTAAAATTAAGAATACAGAAATAGAAATTAGATCTAAGAATTTTATTCTATAAATAGAATGTAATTAAGATGTAATATTTTATTTTAATCTGAATAAAGGAAATATAATATTAATAAGCCAAAATTAATAATCAAGACGATATTTAAGATATTGCAGATATATATGAATATATAGAATTTATAGTTCAAAATTAAAAAAATGTTTACTATTACAATAGATTTACCTGATATAACATACAGTTAATTTATTAAAACATGATAAGTTTGTATTAAATTATGGTAAATTATTCTAGCAAGAAAATAATTATAAAGATATATTTACTGAATCTTATCTATTGTTATTTTGTTTTTTTACTGAAATAAGAGTTTTTGGTTTCCAACTAATTATAACATAGTACAAGTTTTTGTAAGAAAATCATAGCAAAGAATCAAATATTTACATATTTAAAGTTAGGATAGGAATTTAATGTGATACACAAATATAGAAGTATATACCATAAATTCTTGAAATAATAATAATACCCAGAGGTAAAATTAAGAAATTTTGCTTAAGAGTAGGTGAATGATTTCTATTTTTAGTAGTAATAAGGGGCTGACAAATATTAGCTCATTATACCCCTTCTGGGATTTTTACTTAGTCCCACCAAGAGTTAGTTATTTGATATAGTAAAATTTACAAAAAATGCATAATTATGTTTTTGACAGTTTGCATTATCAACTGTCAAAATCTAATTATGCATTTTTTATAAATTTTACTGTGTCAAATGACTGACTCTTGGTGGGACTAAGTAAAATCCCAGGAGGGGTATAATAAGCTAATATTTGTCAGCCCCTAACTTGGCAAATATAGTAAAATCGATTTTTATATAGTTTACTATTTAATTTGCCTAGATTGTACAAAATTTGCCTAGGTTATACAATATAAATAATATATGATTATCACCTGATTTCATTTGAATGTTATTGTAAAAAAAATTAATAATGTGATTACTATTGAAATGTAGATTGCTTCACTCTACTTTTAAATTAAGCTTAATTTAGGCCAAAACTCAAAATAATATCTATGTGCAATTCAATAGTATGTAAAAATGCATACTATTTAACTTACTATATAACTATATATTTTATAAAATTTTTAATTCATTCATGGTAATACACTTTGTGAAATTTTCAATAACAATTCATTTTGATATATGCAATATTTTGCATATATATACTATTTAATTTGCCATATAACAATATACTTTGTATAACATTGTAAATTTTCAATATGTATTATATAGTTATTGGGCACATAGTGGCCAATAACTGCTTTTATTTGTCAAAATTTTTGACAAATAATGTTCTTATTTATCGGAGATTTTGCAAGTACCAGAGTAAATGATTGGGCAATACGTGCCGCACAGCAGTACGTGCTGCCTGATCATTTACTCTGGTACTTGCAAAATCTCTGATAAATAAGGCAGTTATTGGTAGCTTACATGCCCAGTAATAGTATTATCCTTCTGGCCATGACGATCTGCATTTAAACTTTTTTTTTAACTATAAATACAAACTTTCTACATCAAAAAAACTTTTTCCAGTTAGCTTATTCAATTCAAAATGCCTAAATAATTTATATATTTTTTTTTTTAATTTCAAATATATTACTAAAAAAATATTATATATATATAGCGTACAAATTCTTCCCAGGAAAGTTATTTACTATCAACTAAAGAATTAGACCAAATTACAAAGTCACGAGTTCCAGAAATACTTCAAAGTCTATTGATAAATGAGTTAATATACTTAAGAATTGGCGTAAGAAAGTTGAATACAATTATGATATTGAAACTATAACTGACAAGTCACAACGTGAACAAGATATGCAAGAATTTATTGTTGGTGTATAGCAATTTAAAACTGGAAAAGAATATTCACCTTCTTCTCTAAAAAATGCACTAATTCTATTAAGTCAATAGATCTACGATGCACAAGTTGGTTTTACAAAATTTAAGTTATCACACAAAGATGATTTAAGAAATTTGTAGAACACACTAGATGGCAAAATAAAACAGTTAAAATGAAATGAAATTATTCCACAACATCACAATTCATTAACTAAAGAAGAAATTATACTTATATTTAAATGTTCATATGTATTAGCATCAAATGCTCAAAGGTTACAATATCGAGTATTTATGTGGATGTGTATGCTTTGTGCGCCATGGGGTGGTGAGCACAGTCTAATGAAAGTTTCACAATTTAAATTTCTTCCTGATAGTGGAATTATTTTTACAAAATGGTCTCAAAAAAATGATCAAGGAGGATTAGATGATAATGGTAATGCAACTAGTATCCTAATTCTACCAGATCCTATTGGAAAGTCTGGACCTGTTTATGATATTCAGCTTTATTTTTCTAAACGACCTAATAATTGTGTTACACCAAATTTGCATCTTCAATTGGCAAAAATCCGATTGGTAATTGTCAAGAAAAAACCTGTTATTTGTTCTTAAATACTTATCTAATACGATTTTTTTATTTTAGGAAATACATGGTACAAAGATAAAAAGCTTGGAAATCATACGATAAATACTATATTAAAAAAATTTTGCCAAACCTGTAATATTAATATTTAGTGTTGGGATCTGAATGACAATTCGGATATCCAGATTAACATCTATTTCAAAAAACATCTATCTGGATATCCTTCTAAATTAAAATATTAGAATCTAGATAACTATCCGGATGTATCTGGATTTTATATATAACAAGAAAAATCGTGGTGCCTATGGTGCCACTGATTTTTTTCAATTAATTAGTGTGACTAAGTTTGTGTGCATTTGAATTACCATGATTTCTACTATAAGTTGTAAAAATTCTCTTACGAAATCACATCTTTTACAAAGCACAATAATTGCAATTATTTCATCATTATTCTAACTGTAACAACTGATAAAAAATTGTGATTAGTCATAAAATCAAAAACTTAATAAGCTGGTATATAATTATTTGATCAATTTTTATCAGCTGTCTCAATTAGAATGAAAACTGCTATAATTGGTTATAATTATTTTTAAAATAATTTTTAATTAATAGTATTTATATCAGATATAGGAAGAAGCAGCTAATTTTTTAGCACTCATGATATTATTTAACTATTTGGATGATCATCCGGATACATCTGATATTTTGATATACATCCGGATTTAGCATCCACAAATTAAATTAGGTATCCGGATATCTGGATGATCTGCGGATATCCAGATGTTTAGTTAAATGGATCCCAACACTATTAATATTGAAGGCTAAAATATTGTTAACCATTCTGGTCATACAACTTCAATTACACATTTATATTAACTTGGAACACCTAATTCAACTTTAATGTCGATCACTGGTCATAAGAGCAAAAGCTCTGTTAGAATTTATTCACACTCTTCTGAACAGCAAAAAAAAGATTGTTTATCTGCAATAATTAATTCAAGTATTAGTAATGTTGAGGTAATTTATTTTAAATTCTGATGATTTTAATTAATGTTTTTATATTGTTTAAATACTTGTTTTTTAGACTAGCTCAAATGTACAAACAATTGAACCAAATAATCAAGATAATGAAGATCAAATGATTTAACTAAGTAATGATGATTCAGTAATACTCTTTTTTTTTTTTGTTATATAAATACTAACTAAATATGTATTTTTAGAATAAGCAAAATGTAGAAATTATTGAACAAAGTGATCAAAATGTTAAAAACCTGGTAATACAAATATATAATTTTTTTTTTATTTGTATAATATTTAAAATTTTAATTTTTCTTAATTATGCTTTTTTTTTTAGATGAATTGTGATTTTCAAACCCGTGCACCATTATCAAATATTCAAATTAACTCTATTTCTCCAACTAATCCTGGCATTTATGGTTCTGCAAACCCTCATCCTAATGCATTTAAAAAAAACCAACTCTTGGGGGCTGTCAACTCTTGAAATGGAAAAAAGAAAAATTGCAAATTATTAATTCTTACATTATGGCTAGTACTATAATTTTTAAATAAATTTATATTGTATAATACGTATATGTGATATAATCAGTATTATAAGATAAATAATAAATTTGCTTAATAAATTTTAAATTCTGGTATTATTGAAATTGGTAAATAAAAAATAATTACATTATTGACCAGTGCAGATCATAATGGCCTGAAGGATAATATAGTTTATTAACTTTAGTAATTAATAGTTCATGCTATATTTCTTATAAATTAGTTATATATTTAAATTTACAAAAAAATAATTTTTTTTCATACATCATATATCTCAGCTTTGAATTTAGCTCTACCAAAATTTCAATTAGTTAGTATTAATTAAATATTTTAAAGCAGTATTATTTATTATCTGATTTTTTTTTATCAGAGGCTTACTTCCCCTAGTTTTTAATATATAATTTATCAGATCTTATATATAAAATTTCAATTTTTTTAACCCCTTCTAGAAAATCACTTGATAATTGTTAGCTCCCTTACTACTGTACTATAATAAAAGCAATATTGTATCATCTACATAAATATTTATATATAAAATACCAGATTTAATTTATAAGAATTGTTAAAATTTTATTAATACAAATTGGGTTTTCAAATATATCAGAGAATTAAATAAGTACAAATTTGCAAAACTGTTATTTAATTTCTGTAGCTATAGCTGGTAAATCTGAAGCTTTATACAAATATTTATTAATTTATTATTTAATTTTTTTGCAAATCTGCACAGAACAGTACTAAAAAAAATTTTCCAATATAATGGTATTCAAACAGCTACTATAAATTTTTAAATCCTTAGGAGCTGACAAATATTAGCTCATTATACCCCCTGGAATTTTTACTTAGTCCCACCCAGAGTCAATTATTTGACACAGTAAAATTTACAAAAAATGTATAATTAGGTTTTTGACAGTTTGCATTGTCAACTGTCAAAAACCTAATTGTGTATTTTTTGTAAATTTTACTGTGTAAAATAACTAACTCTGGGTGGGATTAAGTAAAAATCCCAGGGGGGTATAATGAGCTAATATTTGTCAGCCTCCTTATCATATTACTATAAAATAATACACAGGGGTGAAATTATAAATTCTGGTCTAAATTAAGTTTAATTTATGCTGAATCTCAAAATACCACCCATGGTCATTATTTTGCAATAATATGGTATATAGTTGATAAATATTTTTGTATTGTTGTGCCACTACTCTCTTTTTACTTTTTATCTATTACCTAATAGAAAAATTGATATTAATATTAGCATAAATAGCACAGTAAAAATCACAAATAATACATTTGAATTAATAGTTCATTTTTAAGAGAAAGCTATACAATATCTAAAGTACATTGCTTTAATTAATTTAAACTTAATGAATATAAATATTATTGATATATTTAACATAAAATATTATAAAAATATTACAAAATTATATACTGACAAAATAATTTTAAAGTTAAAAAACAAATTTTACAGATATTTAATTTAAAATATCTCAAATTTCTATTTTAATTTAGAAATAGGGGACATACACTCTACCTCGTTATAACGGACCCTGATATAGCAGATACCTTATTATAATGAAGTACTTTTCTAGAATAATTTAAAATTATTATTGGCATATTATATAACGTTATAACGGATACATTTATTATGGATAATGGACAGAATCTTTTAGCCCGAAGGGCCCGTTATAACGAGGGTAGAGTGTATTCTTAAGTAATTATAAAAAACTACAAAAAATAATATTCTAGTGGGCATATTTGGCCGCTGGACAGTTTAAGAGATAATTATTATTACGATAGTATCATATGATAACTAAATATTATCAAAACAAAAGGTTAATACTCCAGATAACTCCTATTTCATTCTCTGATTACAAGTCAAAATAGGCATTTTTTACTCACTTATTTTCTAAATAAGTTAATTATAAAATCACTCTATTATATAGATTTAATACTTAAATATTGTGATATAAATTCAGAAAACGGCCTAATAGAGAGTTACAAAACTAAAGTTCAGGTTTCTGATTTCGAATTAAATTGGAGATGTATTTATTTCGAAATCAGTATCTATAAATTTATTTATTTTTATTTGTAAGCTTATTTTTATAATAATGAATACTTTTATAATTGTAAATTTTCTTTTAAAAAAAAAATAACATTGCTTTTTTATCTTCGGAAAACTCCTATTTCATTTTCTGATTTCAAAATTTTAAAACAATAATAGGACTTTTAAACTCGCACTTATTTTAAAATAAGTTAACTATGAAGCCCCCTAATACTATCAAAAAAAAAATTAGAAGACTATAAAATAGATTTAAAAGAAATTAGATATCAAAGAAACAGAAAGTTGTCTTAGTGTCAAGCAAATAAAAGGTTTTTTTTTAGTAGTAAAAAAGAATAAAATTTGCTTTTGTCATTGAACAGTTATTTTTTAGCTACACAAAAATGAAGCCATATTTATCTATTCTAAAAATTGTCAGTGCCAAAAAGTGTCTCAAGTGATTTATTTTAATAGTTGTTTTGAGGTGCTTGCATAAATCCAAGGAGGCTAGGAATGTAATAATATATTGCAATGTGGATATGTGTAGGCGAATACAGAATACCTATAGATTCAGAATCTACTTAAGTGAGTTTCGGACATTAAGACTACTTAAATGGAAATTAGATATTTAAAAGTGAACAAACAAATGAAAATTATTATATATATTTAATGATAAAAAATATTATGTAATACGCCATTGGAGCGTTTATATTTACATTTCGTACTAAACACGACTTTGCAATTTTAATCTTTGTATATTTCAAGCGTTATATTAAATTAGTTCAAGTGGTATAAGTTTATTGACATTCATAAACAGTATCAAGAATCTCATTTTTGCACATGTCTCGTTACAATTCATTTTGGAAATGCATAATCTTTGATAGATATTTAAGAGGATATTAATTTACTTATGTTGGATACTTTATTCTGTTTGTTATCCGATAAGTGACTGTTCATTCTCATTTTGTGATCATAATTATATTTTAATTAACACAATATCGATCTCTCAGCTTATATTACTATAATAATAAAGTTCATTATTGTTTGTGAATAAAGATTAAAGATTTACATTCAAGACATTTATTCACTAAAACATTAAAGACTTTGCCTAAAAATTAAATGATATTCTTATATTGATAACTTAGATTAGAAAGTTTTCAAAATAAAATAATTCATTAAAATAATGATCACTTTAAATAAAAGCTATATTTCGCAAACAATACCGATAATACGATCACTTTGTGTATTTTGTATTGTTAATAAGATCACATAAAGTTTGAAACTAGAGCCTCAATCCTATTCTTCAGAGGCGTTTCACATTAAATTTCTATTTTCTAAATTGATTTCAACTTCGTTATTTTTATATTGTCTTTAGGTTTAAATCATTAGAATATTCTTTTGCAAAGTTAATTATCATTAGCAAATCCGGATGAATTTTTCTTTTAATAACGCAACTTATATATATAGAACTATTAGCTTAATTCTGTGATAGAAAATGTAATGGTCATTACTATTTGTGAACATTATTCTGACTTAAAGGTGGAAATATACATAAACTACGTAGCCGACGTGAAAAATTCGAAATCCTACGTAGAATTTTTAATATTGTTTATAATTTTGGCCAGCGTACACAATTCTGACTTATAGAATCTGTTATAAAGTACTGTATGTATATTTCGTAAGTAGGCTACGTGACATATGAAGTAAATTTGGAAATTTCATGCTAGCCCATCCCCTACTTGAATATTAACTTGGTTTAGAAAGAAAAACACTAATTAATTGATTCAAATAAACCAAACATATATGAAGTTTTCCAAGGATTTTGACCTGCTAATCCTTACTCTTAATCTAATATATATCACGGATCTATTCTCTAAAAAATCGAATTAGTCGGATTAAGGATCGAAGCACTACATTTAATTACAGTACCCATATTTATTCACTACTTGTTTATCGGCCACTCTGCTCTTCCTTAGAACTATAACTGAGTTTTTATTCGCAAAATACAGTATCTCTTACCGACACGGACGTTATTTGAATTATGACCCGAATTAAGCCAAGTTTCGAAATTACACCATGGCGTTATTTCAAGAATTTATGATAGGCAATATCGATATATTTGGTCTGGTATAATTAAGATAGTTAACCTAACTCTAGATTGGGCAAACTGTTTTACCAAATCAGATTTAAATTGCCACCCAGCATCCTATGCGATTTGAAAATCAGTTACCCCTGCATCCCCAAAACTTATAATAAACAATAACGATAATAAAGATTAGCATATAATTTATTAACATTTGGGACCTTTGCTAGGAAAATTACACTCCGAGATTTTCTGATCGGGCAAATTCGGACATACTTAGGCTAGAATATCTCTTAAACCGATTTGCAGGCAAATTTACCTGCAAATATTTGATCAAAATTGTTTTTGTTAGAAGAGCTTGTATAAATCACAACATAAGCCTAAGTAATATTATAACTGGAAAAACTACTAGCATAGGGCTTTTAACCAATTCCAACTTTTAACTATTTTTAACGGCACCTTACCATTATTTTCCTTTTAGAAGGGTGAAATAACCCTGTAAAAGTCAACACACAAGATGCTACTGGGTGTGCCATTTATTGAAATTTCTAATTTTGATATCCGACTGATTCTAAGCGGCACATCGATAATTTAATTATATCATATAAACACATGACTTTAACGGGGCAAATACATGCGATTATTGGATTGTTTTTGCAGGCAAATTTGCCTGCAAAAGTTTACGGTTTAAGGGATAATTTTTTGCTTATTGATTATATAGTTTATTAAATAAGCTATAGAATCGATAAAGTAAAGGCTGTTTTTATGTAGTTTAAGTTTGTCCGAATTTACAATCGGAAAATTTTGGGGGCGATTTTCCTAGCAAAGATCCCAATTGTTATCATTGTTTGTTGGTCATAAGTTTTGGGGATGCAGGCGTGTGCCCTGAAAAATGACAATTGAATTAGGTGTTAGCCGTATAGGGATATAGGATTTTGATAATAATCACGATACACTGTATCAATTATCATCCGACGGCAGTATGACAAAAAATAAAATAACTTTCCTGTATAAATTATTATTTTTTTTTTTGCACAGCATATTTGTGCCGAATTTTCAACACTATCATCCGATGCTTATCAATAAAATTTCTATAAAAGCTTGTCGACTAAAAAACGGATTTAGGGTTACTTTTTAGATGCTGTTAGTAGATTTTTACATATACAATTTATACAGTATGTAGATCATATATTGAATCCACCATAAATCGAAAGTATGTAAATTGCATGGACTGAAATTTTTTTGGGTGGCGATTTAACCCTGATTGCTTACCATTATAATGCATAATAGACTTTTCAAGTTTGGTAAAATGCACACTTTTTTAGAGTAATTCTTACCAGTTACGTTTCATTTTCCCGACGGTCATTCCTCTTACGGATCTTTTAACCGACATCGCATGGGGTGACAATTTACTAGCAATAAATGCGATGTCAGATAAATTGGTTATAGAGAAATGACAGGAAAATGTGTAGCTGCCACTCTAACCTAGGATTTTAATAGGTACAATCAGACCAATGCATTACGATGAGACCATGTAATGATTTTAGAAAGGTAAAAATTTATAATCATAATAATAATTATAATTTGAGCCTAAGTAACGACTTACATTTAGTGGTTGCATTTAGGGGGCTGCATTTAGAATGTTACATTTAGGAAGTTCTGACTGCAATTTAAAAAAAAAAAATGCTGAGAAATAAAATAAACTATTGTGTTTTCACATTCTAGAGTAATAGTATTTTTAAAATGAAGATAAACATACACCTTGTCTTTATTGTTCTCTTTATGTTTAATGGCTTCTCAATCGCTAACTATAAACATAAAAAGCCACTTCCTGTAATTATTGATGTAGATGGCGACTTTGATGATTTTCTTGCGATTCTTTACGCGCTTAAATCTAAGGAGGAACTTGATGTACGTGGAATTACTTACCAAGGTGACGGGTGGTCGAATGCAGGTATTTCAACAGTATTACGTATTAAAATTACCGTTTTAGTCAAGATAATAATAATTTCTATTGATAGCTTCGGCCCAGAATATTGTTGATATTGCGGATGATATCTATCCCGGAAAAAATCTTCCAGTTATACTTGGCGCTGATTATTCCCTGTACGAATCCGACAAAAACCCAAGTACATTAGGTACACCAGGCTGCACTTATCAAAAAGCGGCCCCAGAGGGTGCTGGTGGAAAACGAGATCAAGATTTGCTAATGGGTTTGAATCGACAACTTAGGTTATCAAAACGGATATGGTATGACGTTATGAAAGGTTTTAATATAACTAAGGACTTTGCTGATCTCATTGATTCTACGATTAATCAAACCGGTAAAAACCCCACAATTATATTGACTGGTCCAGCTACCAATATTGTTACTCTTTTACGCGCTTATCCAATTTATTCTGAAAAAATTGACAAAGTTTTTTGGATGGGTGGTGCTTTAAATGTTTCTGGAAATTTATTTAGTATACCAAATAATACTCGCGCTGAATTTAATGTTTTTTTTGATTGTGTTGCCGCTCGAGAATTGCTTGATTTCAACTTGGATATTACTTTAATACCATTAGATTTTACAAGTAAAATTCCACTTAATTCTGCTTTTTTTGATAAACTTTCAAAACTCAAAAGTTTTTATGGTAGGTTTGTATGTAAATTCTTATCTTTGGTTCGTGCAACTTGGTTTGGTGGGGACGCTACATTCTTTGCTCGCTATTATCTTTGGGATCCTACAGCAATTGCTGTTGTTAAAAATATTGGTGTTGCAAAAATTGTATCAAATCGTTCATTGAATGTTACTTGTGATGGGAATTTAAATCATGATGGACAGTTTGTAAGATCTAATGTCCTTACAAAATCAAATTTTAAAGTTGCAACTGACCCCATTGTTAGTAATCCAATTGAAAATTCTCCATTCTTTCAAGATTTTCTTAAAGTAATTGACTATGATTAAAATGTTCTGCAATTTTTTATTTCAAAGTTAAAGAATTTAACCTTCCTATAATAAAACTATATAAGAAATTTCATATTATTGTTGATCTTATACAGTTTATGTTCAAAATAGATATGATGCTTCCCAAAGAATGAAAACTGAAAATTTATTTTCTATAAATTTGGTCAATAACTGTGGGGATAATTGTATAATAGTTTATAGCAATAAATTTGGCTAGTTATGTGTTTATGCGCGTTGTAAGATGAAATCAAATTTTATGGATTTTTAATTTACAATGAAATTCTAAACATAATTGATAGGTTTGTTTGAGCATTCAATAAATTTAGTTTCTACTATATTTAATAGATGGATAGAAATTAAATATAAATTAATCAATAGTTTATAATTTGTCTTAATTCTTACTAATACTCATTTTATTAAAGAATATCGTAACCGTAAACTTTTCAATATATTATTATTTAGAATAAAATTTACTTGAAATTTTTTTAGCAAATGATATGCGTATTCTTGGAAATTACACGCACTTCGATTGAAATTCTTCCTTTAGACCTGAGTGATTTCCAGAAATCGTGTAAGAACATCATAAAATATGCATTATCGTTATTGCACATAAATAAAATAAAATGCAGTCGAATTGATCAATTCAAATATAAAAAGGCGAAAGTGCTTCATAAATATAATAAGGCTCAAAGATATATTGAGTGCATTTGTTTCATGTCATTTGCATAAAGGCACTAATTTAATAAATAATGTGTATTTATATTTTACATTATTTGGTTATATATTTGAATCATCTTTTTAATAAATTCAGTACATCAAATAAATGCAGTTGAATCTCCCAAAACCGATATACATGGGAGATAAGTTTTGTATTGGTATTGGGTTATCAGATTTGAAAACATTATAAACTATTAAATTTATATAACAGAAACAAATTTTGCAGATTAATTTACAGGATCGGGTTTTGGAGATTCAGCTGTATTTTGAGTAAATACACAATTTTCAAAAAAGTAAAAATTTAAAATAATTCTTATATGTAAAATTGGCAAGGAATGTATTTTCGGTCTTTAAGACTTTCGGACGAACAATTTTAGGATTGCTTGGTCGCTTTGTATTAATCTCATCCTGCTACATTTAACAAATAATGTCAATGTTTATAATAGTTATTCGAATAAATAAATTTTAATGGAATTAATTTTCCTTTTAGAAATTTGAGGCATACGGAAATGAGCTTAAAATTTTTAGGAGTCTGAAAATCAACACTTATATGCATTATTATACTGTATTATTGATACACAAAATAACATGTTTGTGATTTAGTAATTTGGCATTTTAATATTTTAATAATGTTTATTTATATATCTTATACAGTATATTAATGAACTGAATAATAAAAGCTAGAAAATACTAGAATTAATGAAAATTTTCACACATGTGATTTTAAACCAGGTAATTGCGAACCAAAACAGACAGTGCCCACAGACAATACTCATATGACAGACTACCACCACCACACCACGCCATTATCCGTACTATCTGTAAGAACTGTTTCTCTATTGTCTAAATCTGACTATACGCCTGCTCTCTCATTAATATAACTATGAAACATACAGCAAGTATTAAGATCATTATTACAGATCCTAATATAACTCTATCTATACTATTAGAAAAACAATCTTGTGTCATAAGTTTTTGGAAATTAAAATATCTAAAGAGACCCAATCCAAGAAAAATAATTCCAAAACCTATAAAAGCTATTCCTAGCCTCATCATCATTATTTGAATCGAGTCCTCCTCCTGTTAATATAGATTGTGTGATTGCTAGTAACGTTTTGAAAGGATTATAATTTAGTAATATTAACATTAAAGCTGTATATATATAGTATATATACGTACATACATAAATATATTTATGCATAAACCCACCTATTCCAATGCTTATGAACGAAAGAGACATCCTAAGCCATGCGAGGAAGGTTCTTTCAAAGTTCAAAGATAAAAAGTTAATTGAAATATAACTTACAATGAATAACAATTATAGTAAATTCACCTAAATGATCTCTCGCAACACTTGCTTTATTTTCTAATACTAATGATGGGTTGTATTTTTCAAGTTTTTCCATTATTTGTGTTTTATGAGAAGATTTATCAGGTCCGTTTATGAGTATGTCATCGTTATTCATCCTTAAGAGATTTTTTGATGAATGCGTGCAAGAAAGAATAATAAGGAGTACAGGTTTTTATCGATTTTTAACAGCCGTGCCAAGATTAGTGCGTCGGGGGTACGTCAAGTGTAACCCGGATTTGAATGAGGAGAGCATCCTCCTGCATTTAGGGACCTCAAAATTATGCGAAATGAAGAGGTAATTTATGCGATGCAATTGGACCAAATTATACGGCTAGTGCTTTACGTTCCCAGAATTATGCGAAACGATCGTAAATTATGTGATTTTTTTCTTACCATTAACCACGTGATAAATAAATATATGAGAGCTGCACAGGGAAAACCTGTAAGTAAAATTTAATTCGTTAAAATATTGACCAAACAAATTTCAAGATCAGGCTGATCTTGAAATTTGATTGGTCAAATCATAAATATTTAACGAATAAAATTTTACTTACAGGTTTTCCCTGTGCAGCTCTCATATATACTCAATTTGGATTGGTCAATTTCTTTCAGGACTTTGCATAATTTACGTTATTTCATTTTCTACTCGGAATATGTCAGAACGGTATACTGTATATAAAAAAAATTATGAAATTTGCGCTCAAAATTTTTTATAAAAAAACTGATCGATTGCTAAAAATCGACTAACCACAGGCACTATTTACTATTATGCAATTTTGGGTCAAATTATGCGTCACATATCGATATGCGATACTAAAAATTGGCCCATTATGCGCATCGCTCGCATAAAACTGGGGTCCCTACCTGCACTGTAAATACTATGTGAAATTTCCGACTATAGTATATAATCATATATATATATCTATCTTCGCCCTATAAAAAAAATTCGTACAGTATTTGACATATTTTTGTTCGACCATATACGGTTTATGTTCAAAATGGAGGCATTATTGTACAATATTTGTACCGAGGTATGAAAAATGAGTTTTCAATAATTGAATAAAAATGTACAATAGGATAAATTTGTCTAATAATTATAATGAATATTTGAATAATAACACAACAATGTACAATAATATAAATTTATTCAATAATTATACGGAATAATTGAACAATGTTCAAATTTTTGCACTACACGAATTGCTATTTTTTTAAACAATTATATATAAAATTCGTGTCAATATAAATACCTGATAATTATGCAATAATAATTGTATAAAAATGTACTATATTTATAGTGTTATTATTTTATTTATTCATCGCTATCTACCTCTTTATCCACAATATAAAATAACTTGTCAATCTCAATAAAACCTACGCAATTATCAATAGCTGATGCATTAATAAATGCATATGATCCCATTCGGCTAAATTTCTTTATGCCAATACTATCCTCTTCAACAGATGATGTCCACTGAATGTAAGCTAACATTACTTTAGATCCTTCAAACTCATAAGTCAGATAATATTCAACTAAAGCATAAAAATTTTGAAGCTTGAATACTGATGGTCGCTTTGGATAATTTGCATAAATATCCACTTCTATTTTGACCATAACAGTATAATTAATTCGTGACCAGTCTTCATTTCGGCGAATCCATTTGATCCAATATAATGACCATCTTTTGTCCTAAGCCTTCCATATTTTGTTCCTGTTTGGCTGAAAGACATAAGTTGTAATCCAGATACATCGTATATAGTAGAGAAATGGTGCTTGATTTTTATTAATTCACTTTGTGTTAATTTGTATTGAGCTGAAGGAAAATAAAAGTCTTGGCCATATTCTCCCGTATAGGCTAAATGTTCTTCATGTACTTTAGGTGGGATTTTTGGAAAAATTTGATTATAGATCATTTGATTAAACTTTAAGCAATTGAAAATTTCAAGTAGGTGAATATTATTAATTAGATTTTTGTATGGATGTAATTTTGATTTTGTTAATGGAAGCAGCATCCCACCCACTCTTTCAATTGGATATTGCCATGTCATACAGCACGGTCCTGTTTGAATAATACTTTCTGACACATGTAATATAGCATGTATACACATTTTCATTGCACTTAATCGCTCTGATATTCCACGGTAATATTCTTTTTCATAATGTGTGTAAAATGCTAGAAGGCATGATTTAATTTTATTTAAATCATTATTTGTTATAATTTGTTTTTGACATAATCGAACAGCTTTAACAAATAGTCCCCAGCCTTCATAATATTTTTTAGGCAAATGATTTTTAAGAAATAGCAATGAATACATCGTAATCCAGGCAGACCACTCTTCAGCTTTATAACCTTTATAATGTAAGACAATGTTTCGCAATAGTCTTCCTAGATTTGATGGAATAGATTTTCAAACTAGATATATCTTCTTTCCAATTTTGTTCCATATTTCTTTGCTTAAAACATATTCACTATCATTTAGGCTTTGATCTGTAAAAAAAGAACCCATCCAATGATAAAGCATATAACTGGCAGTGGTCTTATAAAATAAATGCATAATATCTATAGAAAATGTTTTTGGAAAATTGGTGGTTTCAAGATCAAATAAAATGCTTTTTTTTAGAAATACCATAACATTTTATAGCTTGATTTTGTTCTAACTTTGTTTGTGTATTTTGAATCTTTTGTATTCATTTTTTAAACTCATTATGAGTTCTAAGTGGTAAATTCGTCAGATTATAAGTTTTACCTTTTTTGTCTTTTGGTGGTTTGATGGGATAGTATACATGAGAAGAATAAATTCCTATTATATTACAATAACAGCATCCACTATATGAATTATGCCCTGTAAGACCTATTAATTTAGTAAGTGCGGGCATATCACCAGACCAAGACAATACACATCCACGTAATATAAATTTATCTTTGCAATTAATACTTGAACATTTCACTCCTTTCTCTAATATAAGTAATTCAGAAATAGCAAGAAACAAAAAAGAATTTAGATCTTTTGGCCCTTTGGGTTCAGGAATAACTGTAGAAATCAAAAGGTTTTTTTCTTTACTTGCTGGTCAGGTGCTAAATTGGCATTTATAAATAACAAAATCCAGCAATCATCTGTTTTTTTTAAAAAATTTGAAATCCATTGATTGATGCCAATAATACAATATCATGTTTTTCTTTAAAATATCCATTCTTTACTAAATCTTTATAATGTTGTCCATCAAAAACATCACCAATTGCTTCATTACGATAATATTTAGGCTTTAATGTATATTCTGAGCGATACAATAAATTTGTTGCTTGTACTGGATCTTGGTATTGAATAATTATACGGTCAATAATTGAAAAATATGCAAACTGACGGCGTGGCTTGTCTTTGTAAAATTTGTCTTGATAATGTTCTTCATTACAAAATGGACATTTACTGAGATTGCTGAAATTATTCGTATAGGCGCAGCAGGTATTAATGCACATGTCTATCCATTTAGGTTTTAGTGAAATCAATGACAATAATTTTTTTTAACCAAATATAAGCTCATTGGTTTTATAACTGTAGCATTAATAATCTCGCAAAAGGCTTCATCAGTAAGATTACTTTGTATTTTAACTTTAAGAAGTCGAATTATAATAGCAACTTCTAGAGATATATAAGGTATACTTTCTAATATTTAATTGAAAATATATAATGTTATTAAAAAATAAAATATATTATACAATTTAATATATTACCTTCATTATCCAAAGAAGTTGTAGATATAGAAGATGTAGAAGTTGTACTAGTTGAAAAAGAACTGTTATCATCACTTTCCAATTCAATCTCAAGTTCACTACTGCTTTCTAATTCGTTCTCAAGTTCACTACTACTTTCTAATTCGTTCTCAAGTTCACTACTACTTTCTAATTCATTCTCAAGCTCAATACTACTTTCTAATTCATTCTCAAGTTCAATACTACTTTCTAATTCATTCTCAAGTTCAATACTACTTTCAATTCCATTTTTAAATATATTATAATCGTTTTCTAACTCATCATCAAGTCTAGCAATACTTTCTGACCAATTTTCAAATTATCAATATTTTCTAATCTATTTTAAATTCATTATTACTTTCTAATATATCTGCAAATTCATTATCGCTTTCTATTCTATTTACAATTTCATTATTGCTCTCTAATCTATATGTAAATTCTGTAGTATTCTCCAACCTATCCGCAAATTCATTATCATTTACAAAACAACTCTCGAAATTATTATTACTTTCTAAACTAATCTCAAGATTATTTGAATCATTTTTAAGTTCTCGGTAGGTTTTTCTCCAATTTAAATTAAGCTCATTTGTTTCTTGATCAAAGATATATGGCGAAAATATATTTGTATTAGAACTTAGAATATTATTCTGTAATACAAAATCATTACTAGGGCTTTGAGCATTCTATCTATCACGTTTTTGATACCAAATTCTAGCACTTTTTGATACTAAAGATCCACCACCTTCTTTTAATGAGCACACTTGACAAGTGCACCAAACTGGATTTCCTGGCATTAATATCAATTTTTTAACAAGAAATTATTAAAATTATTATAAAAATAAAAATTTTAAAAAATTTTCAACTAATCGTTATTATTAAATAAACTAATCTACGTAATATTATATTATAGGGGAATTTACATATAAGGGCCCGAAAAATGAAAATAATTACAAATAAGGGCCCAAAGTGAAAACAATTACATATAAGGGCCCAAATTTTGAAAAATATTACAAAGGGTCAGATTGCAAATTTTTGCATATAAAATTATATAAATGTAATTGTCATTTGACATTTAAACGTATTACTTTTTAGTCAGTATTGCATCTATCCTCTTAGCACTTTTCACGTAAAAATTTT